ATTCATGCATTTACAACTAGCATCAAAACATAATTATTATATTTATAATTTAATTTACGTATATATTTTATATAGTTATAATTTACATATATATATATAAATTTATATATATATATATTCCAAGCTCAATGAATTTTTTTAAATAAACAATAATATATGCTATGGACTTTTAATCTTAAATTTTATGAATCTTTGCTTGTACTTTCGAAATGATGTATATTCTTAGTTTACCTGTATATATTGAAGTTTCACATATTAATTTTTAATTAGACCTTAAAGTAAATTCATTTGAACCTATGGCATCTGTAAATTCTTAATATATAAAAGCTTGTGCTATTAATAAAATTTATTACTGTTTTTGTTATTTTAATATAATTTATATATATTTTTATCATTTTCTATATAAAGTAGTTTATAAATTTAAGTGTAAGAATTTTAAAGCTAATAATTTTTAATTGTACTATATGCTATTATTGTTTTCAACTTAATTTGAATTCTATAGTTTAATAAACTAATCATTTTAAAAAAAAATTTGTAATCATATGAGATATTAAACTATAATATAGACGATAAAACAAAGAGGAAGACGTTTATGCTTTTTAAATAATAGTAACTTACAATCGGAATCCTGATGATGACTCTCAAGGAGAGTCGTAATATAGAGTGCTATAGTAAACTTATAATCCTTATTATTATAATTGTTATAATCCTTTCCTGACTATTTTCTATGGCAGCAATTGTTTGGACATATCTTTCACTAAAAAATGATTGCAGTTTCAAGACCAGAAAAATGTCGCACGAATATTGTCTTATAAGTACGAATAAGAGTCAATCACATTCATCGAGTTTTGTAAAAAGAACTCTTAGAAAACCCGATTTATTTTATGGTCGTTTCTCAAATTTCGCATTCTTCTACATTTATCCATTTTATTTATAATATTATATACTAGATGATGGTAGTATCTAGTGGTTAACAACCCTTATCATTGTTACTGAGGTTCGGATTTGAGTCCATATGACAGCAAATGGTTTTAATGTAAAATATACAAAAAACATATTTCCAAAATCTCCATCCTTAGCAACTTTGTAATAACGAAGTTAATTAGTAATTAATAAATTGATGTGGAAAATTATTTAAAATATAAAAAAAACATAAATCCAATAAGTTAATATCAAAGCGTTCAAACAAACAACCGTTTACTTTGACTTTAGTTCATATATAATATTTTCAAATAAATATACTGTTTAGCCAAACTAAAAATAAAACAATAAAAAAAAACAAAATACTTGTCCTGACTAAATTTATGTTACTATACTTGATTAAAACAAATTTGTAATAAAAGAAATAATCAAAATTTGTTAAACCATCATTATTAATATACATAAAAATTTATAATTTTAACTACCTAATAGTATGTTTCAACTGGCTTCGTTAAACCAGTTAACTTGAGATAACTTACTTGAATCCACTGATCTAACGAAGCCAATGGAAACGTACTAATGGGTAACATACATAAAAATTAAACTTCTTACCTACTTTACTATTCTTTTTCTTTTAGTCTAAATATTTTGAAGTAAAATAAAATTAAATTGAAATTTCTTTTATAAATATACATTTATATTTTCTTGAGAATGCTGCATCATATAAAAATACCAATTTTAATTTAAATACTTAAATTAATTACATTCATCATTAATTAATTAATCATTTACTTTAACTTCTTTTATTAAATTTTGACAAGATTTATGAAAATGAAATACTATATCTATTATACCTAAAAATAATATTGCGATCCTTCCCAAAAATCGAACGCAGTCTAAAATATATATAGCTCTCATTCAAGCCTTTTTCAATATATTATATATCTATTTTTTAAATAATAATTTTCTGAGGTAGTTTTCTAAACTTTCTATTTCACTTCGCAATGAAATCATAGCAGTTCCATAAAAAAATAAGGGATCAAACATTGATTACTTTTATATCCTAATATAGCATGCATAAAAATTAATTATTATTATTATTATTATTCTAATAACTTGAGTACCTCATTTCAAATGACCTCATTTCGCTATTAAATAACTATAATAAAAATAAACTGGTACTTTTTGAATTTTATCTTTCTATGGTTAGCAGTATTAGAGTATCAGGGTTCTAGGACATTATAATACTACAACCAAGTAATTTTATACAGATATTAATATTTTAAATTAAAGGCAGTCAGCAAAATTTGTTTAATTTTGGTTTATCAAACATATAAATATTATACAAGTATATTAAAATATTTTATATTAAGGCTTTTTATTGCTCTTAAATAATGTTTTTAATGGCAGTAGATGTTTTATTACTTTGCTTGTTAATTTTGAATTAATTTTTTATAAATGAATTAATAATTATTGTATCTATATTATAATGTATTGTTAGTCTGCAATTTTTCAGTTATAGCACCAAAAATTTTTTGGCATACGGGTATCTTTAAAGCATTATAGTTATAATGTACTAAAAGAGCAGCCACTTTAATGTTATAAGATCGTTTTACTATTTTTAAATAATATATATTTTACACATGTGAAAATGTCTTAGTTTGAATTTTAACTTAGAATGGAAGAAAATTCCTTAGCTTTTACTTTCTTCACAATAACTGGGAATATCCAAAAGAATATTTACGATTCAAATATATAAGTTTAAACAGTAAAAAACTCATTTCTGCAACAAATCTGAATTAATCTGAGAATGTCTGATGAATAAAAAAATATATAGAATTATTTATAAATAATTATTTGCTTGGAATAATCCAAAAACCAAAACAAAGAATTAATACTAGATAAAACAGGAAATATAAAGTGAGAACCTATAAACAATGATTATAATATTTTTTTTCTGAAATGATTTGCTTTATAATAACCTGTAAAAGTTTTAATTTATTGTTGTATTTTTATTTCCCATTTAAATAATTATAAATAATAATTATATAATAATAAAAAAAATACCTTGTTTTAGTATTTTTTCTATGATACATACTCGAAGAATAAGCAACAAATGAATTTATGTATAATCTATAAGATAAAATCTATAGATATTATTACTTATATAAAATATGTATAATAATCATTTAACATATGGTATGTAAAGTATCCAGACTAATTTGAAATTATAAACTGTAAGTACATAAATAAAACATAAGCTTCTATAAACTTTTTCAATAAAATTGTACACTGCTAAAAATAATGCTGAACAGATAATTTGTTACAAATAAATTTTCAATATTAGTAATTCAATAAGATTGTAAGCTGCATAAAAGCATCTCATATTTATGTTTATCTACATAAATTGAATCAAATAAGTATTATAAACAAAATTTTTTTTGTAAATAATACTTGTATGATTTCATATTCAATTACTATCTATATTTAATACGGCTTTAAAAATAAGTATTATAAATAATACTATTAAGTATTATAAATAATATTATTAAGTTTTATAAATAAAACTATTAAGTATTATAAATAATACTATTAAGTATTACAAATAATACTATTAAGTATTATAAATAATACTAATATTAAGTATTATAAACAAAATTTTTTTTATAATACTTATATGACTTTATTTTCAATTAATATCTATATTAAATATGGGTTTAAAAATAAATATTATAAATAATACTAATAAGTATTATAAATATTACTATTATTAAGTATTATAAACAAAATTTTTTTATAATACTTATATGATTTTATATTTAATTAATATCTATATTAAATATGGGTTTAAAAATAAGTATTATAAGCAATACTGTTATTAAGTATTACAAATAATTTTTTTTATGAAACTTATATGGTTTCATATTCAATTAATATCGATAATAAATAATAATAATAAAAACATAATTATTACTGTAATCATACAATTCTTCCAAAAATAATTTTTTTTTTGTTTTCTTAAGAACATATAACTTTTGTAAAGCCCTTACCTATAATTCATTTTTATTTCAGTTAATAAATTTGAATTAGAAAATTATAGGAAATAAGAAGAATAAAATATTTATAACTAAAAAAATAGTAGCAATAAAATATCTGCATAATTTTATTTTAGTTTGAAAACAATAATAGCATTATAACTTATTAAAAATTATTATCTTAATATGTATTTAAAATATTCATATTTATAAATAAAAATAATATCAATTGGAGATATTATTATATATAAAAACCTCTAACTTCTTACACTTAAATCTATTCAATTTTAATAATAAAAAAAAACAACATTTCCATGAACATATTTCAAATAATAAATTTAAGATTTTATTTGCATCTTCGTTTTATTATAATTTTTATTTCATTTGTATTACTTTTATATTATTCATACATTACCGTTCAATAAATTTTTAAAAATATTTTAATGAACGTTTTAACTCACAATCAGCAACACATTTGCAGCAATTTAAAATACAAAAAAAAAATTCAAATATTAAACATATAATATAAAAAAATATAATAACAAACATTTTTATGTTTTATAATTTAAATTTGTAATATTTGTTATTAAAAATAAAAGAATAATTACATATATTATGCAAATAGGTAATTCTAGGTTAGCATAATTTGTAATTTTTTTTAAAAGTTTTCATTAAAAATTTCATTAATGTTTTTGATTTTTTTTTTTTATTTGAGTTTTTAGAGTTTTAAATTTTTATTTCATATTTTTCTAAGCTTTTAATCATTTTTTTTTTAATAATTATAAATCTTTTCTACCGATTTTGTTTTTTATTCGGTTTTATATAATAAATCAATTAATTGTAGACATTTTTTTTTAAAGAAAATTTTTAATTGTTTACTTTCAGATCTACTAATATTTTCTTTAAATTTTTTTAATTAGTAATTTCATTGTTATATTAATTAAATTTATATATTAATTTTTACAAAATAATAAAAAAAAAATTTTTTATTAGTTTTTGGTTTTTTATTATTCAAGTTTTTTTAATAAACTATTTAATCAAATATTTTAACTATAAAATAATGTGATTGTTGTTATGTTTATATTATAATTATTTACGTTGGTGGTGGGGAAGGTGATACTTATATCTTGTCATCTCTTCAACATAATTAATTATAATTAATTACAATTATTATAATTAATCATAATAATTAATTACAATATCATAATTAATTGTAATTTCACTTTAAATTTAAGCTTAGAAGCAGCATTTGCGGTTGTTGTTGGCACCGCTATTAACGCGATAGCCCTGCATGTCCGATCGGCGTTGACGATTTCCCTTGCTTTGAACTTCGCGTACTTTATTGGCGCGCTTAATAGCACCACGGCATATATTTTGACGCTCCTTCTTAATATTTTGCTAAAAAATAAAAATTTTGTTATATATAAAAACAAACTATTAAATTATAATTTTTTACTTTTTGAGCACTACGAGCGCAGAGTTCCTGCTTTAACTGAGCATGAGTAAAGCGGTCAAATCGTGCACTTGCAGAACGTTGCTGCTGGGTTTGCACAGGTTGAGTGGCCTAAATAGAAGTGAAGAGACACAATTTATTAGTATTAAAAATTTTTAATACTATTAGTTTGTATAATTTACTCTATTGTCTTCTGGCTCAGCTCTTTGTGCATTTAGTTGCTGTTGTTGAGATTCCCCTACCCCGAGATCAAGATTTACAAAACTATCGGTAGCCTCTTGGGCAGACCTAATACTATGATAAACGGACATACTAAAATAAAATGAAAATAAAAATTATTATATTTATTTATTATAATAATTATTATATATTATATTTATAATGATGTAGCTAGTTTTAAATAGAGAAGTTCTAAATAGTACATAACTTCAAAATAAATAATTATTATTATTCTAATTTTTATAATTAAAGCTTAAAAATTAAGAAATCAAAACCCTAATATTTACCTAGGATGTTCAATTAATAAGTTCTCAAACGGAGAAATCTCCATGTTGGCAGGTCCGATAGAAGTAAAACATGGTGGTGGTGTCACGAACCATGATTCATCCATGAGGCTACTACTTCCATTGCTACTACCGCTAGTATTGTGCGCATCATAAGTTGGTGGTTGCGCGTGTAGCGATTGCGTTACACCAACATCAGCTGTTATTTGACCGGCAACAGTACCGGTTGTAATGCTTCTGGGCGGGCTTAATCTTGAAATATTAAGGGCGCCGTTACGAGCGCCACTATTACGTGCTCTTTGCAGTAAGTTACGTTGCTGTTGAGGCCGTGGTCCACTGTACAAGGAATGCGAATTAATATACTGTTGACGTCGTCGTTGCTGATGGTTAGTATTAGAATTTGTTGCCGGTACTGTTGCAGTTGATGTTGTTGGTTTGATGTCAACAATTGATAACTCTTCTTCAGAATCGGTACGTGGAAGAGATTCCTCCTCTTCTATTATAATTGATATTAAATTATTATAGTTTTTTATATTCTAATATTCATTTAAAAACGAACTTACCTTCCTTTTCAACAATAAACCATTCGTCTTCGTTAAAGTCTTCGTCAAAATTATCAATCGGTGATAATAATTTTGTTAATTTAGTTGTTGAATTCTGACCTCCGTTTTCTTTTTTATTCTGCTTATTATACTTGTTGCGTTTATTTTTGCCACGTTTACCTTGACGTCCAACGTTCGCACCAGTTACAGAAGGCGTCGATGAACTAACTCGTATTAGATTATCAGCTTCAATGCCTACGTTTCCGTCGTCGGCTAATTGTTGTTGTTGTTGAACAGTACCCTCTTGTCCAGTCGGATTTTGTGTCGTTTCTCTATTCGTAGTTGCAGGCGTAGTCGATCCAAAAAGAAACGATGCAAGACTGCTAAACATTATACGAACAATAAATTGAGATTTGCAGTAATTGGTACTTCTTAATCCTCTCCTCTTTGTTGTAGATTTGTGTGTCAACAAAAGTTCTTTGGTGCTTTTTTGATAGTTCCTTTCGGTATGTCTTATTGCTTTTAAATGAGATCAATTTCCTTTTTAAGGGTTATTAAATTGTGTTTTGTTTTCTTTGTCAGTCTTCTTTGTATTCGCACGATTTTATCACCTCTTTAATTTTAAGCGCGTTTTTTAGAGATACTGTGAATTCTGCAATCAAAAAGGAAATAATAAATTTTAGAATATTTATAGATATAGATATATTTTAAATATTAAACATATTTATTTATAGAATATTTTTGTTATATATATGTATAATACTATACTATTGTTGCATATAATATATATTATTATTATAATTGCATTAAGTCTATATATTATTATAAACAAAAACTTTTAATTAACCTTCTACAAAGTTTTATGATTGTCATTACATTTACTACATTTGGTAACACATAATTTGTAGTTGTCGCGTCTCTGATATAACAGTTTTTCAAATTTGGGACCATGAGGTTAAGAGATTAGAATGATATTTACTGAGCTTCCTAGTCTCAAACGCATACTTATCGGGCATGTAACTTAAAACCCGGAATATTTTATAGTAAAACACATTATTTTGACAAATTATGGAAAGCATATCATTTATAGTTTGTTCTCGGAAACATTTCTTCATAATTTTACCTTATGGACTCTCTGTCGAAAAAAAAAAAAAACCAACCAATTTTTAATGTCAGAATTAAAGCCAGTAAATATTTAGTACCTTAGATTAAAATGAATCATATTCCAGATAGGCTATAATACTGCATTGAGTGAAAATACGTAGTAGTTAGAAGGGGCAATGTGTGGGCTATACATAGAATAAGGTTTAAGAATAAGGTTCCACTATTATTGATATAGTTTTTAACTTATGCAGTAATATGCGGCAGTACATTATCATTATATCATCATAGTTCGTTTCAAACCAATCAATATATATATATAAAATTATAGACACATAAATAAAGTGTAACAGGGTTTAGAGAACAAATTACAAACAATTACAAAAAAAACTTTAACTCGAAGTCTCTATAAGTCGAACCTTTTCTTTGCGAATGGTACTCTGAATTATGGAAGTTTGACTGTATATATATTGATTGGTGATTTATAGTGTCACCAGGTTAAAGCTACTCATAATGGATAATAGCTTTGGCATTCCATTAAATACAGTGTTTAACCTTGCTTGTTCATATAGCTGGTTGGAAAAACTTGACAAATAATTTTGGCGCTTGGGATTATTGCACTACATAATTACTACTACTTTATACTACTTTATGTAGTTTATATTACCAGTATCAATTCGAATAACTTGTTTCTATAGCAATATATTAAATCAATTTTCGTCGTTTCTTGACTTTAACTCGTATAATATACAATTTTCTTGCTTTTGGTTAGGTTACTTTATACCTACAATCCAAAGAATCCACTTAGCTTCCTTTGGTAACACAGTGACCAATAGACCTAAATACTTTTAGTTAAGTCCATATAATTATAAATTCGTTACGATTCTAGTTACGATTTACACACCTATCAATTCAAAAAATATTATATAAAGAGGTTTTTAGAACAGTAGTGAGCTACAACAACAAAAATTCATTTTATATTATTTTAATTAATTGAATTTTTGGCTGACCATACAGCTGTTTACAGTGGTCTTGGAAATAATTCTTGTATTTAATTATTCGTAAATAATTTTTAGAGACTGCAAGTGCCAGGAATCGAACTCATGTCCAGCCAAATTTGAAGCTTAGAGTCAGCGCACCAATTGACCTAAAGCCATACTTGACTTTTATGTTCGCACATATTTCTGGAGTTTTGTTACTTTACTGCGAAGTTCACAAATTCACTTGCTGTGTTTATATTAGAACGAAATCATAAGCCAGCTGTAGAATAATTGAATCAATTTATTATATTTTTATTTTTAATTGTTATATTTAAGTACTATTCTGTTTGTAGAGGCTTTATTATATATAAATTTATATGTAGAATATATATTTTAAGGATAATATCACTACTTTTATGTTTTTTTTATCAATATAAAAATTTAACGGGCCTGAAATAAACTCGGAAAAATTGAGATATTAACAAAAGATTTGATATTAGAATTTTTTCTTTCAATGAAATGCTTTTACCCTTAACTTTTGTTCTATAATTGTATTATTTTCCTTCTACTTTATTTTACTGATTTTTTTTTATACTGAAATATAACTCAACAAAAAATGTGTAACTTTTTATAACTGTTAAAGGTTATAATTCATTACATCACCACCTGAAGTACACCCCCAAACCAATGAGTTCTGTATATTGACACTGAGTGGAACATGACATCAGCTCCTAGACAATTTAAATGTCAAGCTTTATTTGTTGCTAATACCGTTGATGTTAATTTTATTGTTGTGGTTTCATTATATATTTTTTTATCTACAAAACAATAATCTTTGAAAACAACAAATGCCTTACTTACATACATGCATTCATACAGATAGTACATACATACAAACATACGACATACAACACATAGACCACACAACAATTAAGCGAAATTTCCATTAAAATAAGTTTTCATGCGCTGAGCGCGACATGCAGTCTGGGCGAAAAGTGTTCTACAATTACTTGGAAATTATGACAAATACAATGGAAATATCTACAATACATGTTGACGTTTATACATATACATATATATAAATAAATATACATATATGAATACATTTATAATTTAAAAATAATTAACAAGTTCAAGTGAACTTGTTAATTAAAATGTGAGTAAAAAAAATATATTAACTTTCAGTGTTTTTTTATATAAAAAATTTTGTATGAAAAACACAAAGCGGGCAGCTTCAAAAGCTTTGAATTATTATTAATTTTAATTATTTTTTACTATATTATATTTCTACTATTTGTTATGTATCTATTTAATACTTTATATAATAAAGTTTAGAGTAATAATTTATTTGTAGGTCTTGATTTACATTGCTGCGTATACCTTATATTGCCGATTTTATTTTTATTGTTCATAGCCAAAATCATTAAATTTTAATTGTGTAAATAGAAAAGAAATTCGTTTTGAAATAAACATATTTAATTTAATTCTAAATTGAAGTTTCTTTAACTTTTTTTTCCAATTTTTCATTTAAATTTTTGTTTATTCTCTAAACCAATAAAATTTGATTTGAATGAGCGCGAACGCTGCTCCACTATTGCCAGATCGCATGAATGTCGGTGATTGTGATTGATTGTAATTGCCGTAATTAAATTCAAATTACACACAAAATTCATGTTTATTTTTGTTTGTAATTCAGTTTTTAAATAGAAAAAAAAAAATCTTACTTTTATTTAGATTTTAAAATTTATTACTGCAATCCATTGCCTGTCTGCCTGTCACTTTGAAGAGGTTAGAGTGCAGATAATTTATTCGTAGCAATAAATAAATGATTTTGCATTTATTTTATTAAATTCATTTCATGAAACAGAACACAATATATATTTTTATATTTTATTTAAGTTATTTTATATCATTCAATTACTCATACCTTTCAATAGGTCAAGTTATATCATAAAATGTTCATCTAGATAATTAAATATTGCTACTTCAATTGATATGATATTAATTCTCATAGAAAATATTTAATAGAATTTTTAGATAAGAAACAAACTAGTTTTTATTGTCGATCACACCAATCGACAGTTTGTGAATCAATTTCCAGCTAAAGCTGTTCATAATTAAATATCAAAAATGCCGCTAAACGCAATTACCATAATTCTAATGAAAAACTCAATTACATGGGAACAAATTGTTTAAAGAAACTTTTAATTAAAGTAGTGATTACAGTAATAATTTAAAATGCATAGAATACATTCAACTATTTCAGAAACGTGTGTTGGGTTAGGTTTCAATTACATTATCAATTGTTATTTGTTGATATTGAATATATTTTTTGTTTGTTATATCAAATTTTTTTTTATGTAATCTGGCAGAAATTTGAACGGGTTGCTATGGTCTGCGGTACCATCACAACAAGCTAGGTCTGTGTGAGGACACTGACCGGAGACTCATTCTGCTCTTTATAGAGCCGTTTAATCCTTTGCAGTCTTCTGCGTAAGGGATTACATATAGGGATTAAGTATAAATTAAAGTAATTGTAATAAAAATAATTAATTTAATTTAATTTTAAAGTTGTTGTAAAAAAATAAATTTTATTAGACGGATTCAAATAGCAAAGAAAAGACAAAGACAAAAATTTTTTTATTTTTAAAATATTTAATTTAATTTATTGGTCAGCCAAATTTCAATAAATTAAAAATAAAAAAATTTTTGTCTTTGTCCTTTCTTTGCTATTCGAATCCGTCTAACTTTTAAATAGTTTCTTTCGTCATTAAAAGACACGCCATTATCGGCAAGAAAAAATTAACCTTAATAAATTTTATTGTTGCAATTTATTACAAAAAACGTTAAAAAGAAGATAATTAATTTTTAACCACTCAGAAATAGGAAGAAAATAAAGAGCTATAATCTACCAGAGCAATCACTATCGCAATCGCTTTCAGGAACTTTCAACCTAAACCGATTTATGGTTTGTAAGCAACCAAGTAAATATAATTTCAAATTTATTACGATAATTTTGACACAGTAATGTAGGTTAAACTGACTTTACAAAGCTGTAAAGTTTGTATGAGTAGAATGCACTTCTAATCAAACTAATAGGTGTTGTAGAAACAAAATGAAAACTCAGAACAAGTACATGGGCTTTTCCGGCACTGATCCATAGGCAATAGAAGTACATGCGTGGACATCTCATATGGATGAGAAAATAAAACTCTGTAATAAATACATAGAGAAAATTTGACTTTATGAAATACTCTTAGCCTATTATTATTATGAAAAAGGGGTAGTAAAAGATATATTGTGCCCCTTAGTCGGATTAGAGTGTTTCTCCAAGTCCGATTTCTTTAATTAATGACAGTATAGGGCCTATATTTCTTAGTCTTGAATACCTATGTTCCATGAAATACCCTCCTAAGTATATCTTTAGCTTATGCATCAGTGCCAGACAATCCCATAGTACATGGTATGCGGAATAATTTTTAGAATAATAGAATAATTTTATAGAATAATTTTTCTATTGTTTAAACAATCAATAAAGTCTCTCTAAATCCATTTGACAACAATTACATTT